CAATTGTAGCGACGACTAACGATACGGGCCTCAGTCCATTGATGCAAATTGTGAAAATTTGTAATGCCCTCCTTTGAAAAATTGGATTCGTCCGTCTATAGAGAATGTTTTCCAGGAACCGTTCATTCTCAATGTCACTACGTGGGAGAAAACGACAAAATTGGCTTCGGCGAATAGGATCACCATCTTTAAGTCCTTGTACGTCGATACCATAAAAAGGATATTTTCGTTCACGGTGCATGGTACTCCAAAGAAAAAGTTCAGCAGCAACTTTCCTAGTAGTTGTAGTGGGATCATCTTCAAACGCATGGAGGGTTAGATCTTCGCCTTCAGGAGGATATCAAACTGGATTAACACCAGGTTCATTACGTGTTACACTTCCAGTCTCGAAAAGACGTCAAGAAGTATTGTAAAACACTCTGACATGAGGCAATCTTCTCCCAGGAAATCGCACTTGGTTCAACCGTCGTGTTTCTAGTCCGTTACCACCTGTTCTGCCATACATGTAAACGATATCTTTCGTTAGTGAAAGCGGTCATTTTACAAACTAATTAATTCAGGGTTTTTGGACTTAAATTCATGAATTACTATTGACTTGTTTCGAGAGGAATGACGCAAGAATGTGTGGAATTTAGTTTTATCATGCACGCAAACACAATCGTTACCACAAAGTAGTAAATAGTAAAACATGTATTTATTATTTGTTTTTCTTTTCTCTACCTTCGGAGAAAAAACCACACGGTCAGGTATTTAAAAACTATTTCATATAGCCTGATATTCTTTCAGTGACAACAAAAACAAAAGGCATATTTTTTTCATTAAAAATCGAAAATCTCGAATAGCTCGAAAACCGTAAGACTTTGAACTGAGGTATTTTTGACCTAAAAGACTCTAAATGGTCTGCCCTATCACCTCTTCAAGACTTTGTATCGACCTTAGTAAAACCCAACTTTTTCTTCAGGTGACGAAGCCTGTTCGTGTTCCTTTCTAGTACAATCATTTCAAAGAAAAGCAAAAACCTTTCTTCCTGTTAAGGATATAAATGTAATTCATCTTCTGTCACCTAATAGACTGAAGAGGTAGTGTCTCATCAAGGAAACCACAGACAATTGATGAAGTCGCTAAGCTATTGATATCATATATCAAGACATATAGTTAATATTTTCAAAATAGTGTTTCTAACACTCTGTAGCATTATCACTTTTTTGGCATAAAACTTATATTCCGGTGACGTCATTTGTTTACTAAGGTAATAGACTGAGGAAGAGTAGCATCTCAAAAGTATAGAAAATTCATTTATTTGCTAAACTATCGATCAGTCTGTAAAAGAATCCACTTATAATTAGACATTATAAATTATAAATAGATATTGTTTTTCTTTTTAAAATCCACACTGGACTTTTTTGTATTTAAAGAAGGTGTTCAAAATGTCGTCCTCCACATTCCAAACAAGCTTCATTACGACGAAGTCAGTTTCTTTTTACTCTAGGTCCTCAAAGTTGTCCATTTACTATTTCCAGCCCCATAAGCCATCCCTTTAAGTTCTTCCCAATACCAGAAATCCATCGGATTGAGGTCAGGAGATCTTGCTGGCCATTTTCGAGGATCAGGAGCATTTCGACCGATCCAGCGATTTGGATAATGTTCATTCAAATACTGAATGACGCCTCTAAAAATGTGTGGTGGTGCCCCGTCATGAAGAAACCACAAATTCTGTCTCCGTTGTAATGGCATGTTGTCTAAGGTCTGTTCCACAAGTTCTGGAAACGTTGTTGGAAATGTTCTTCATGAATGGTATGAGGATTTTCTTGAACAACATGTCGGCGAGCTCTTGATCCGAGAACATTGTAAAAATAAACACGACGACGTACGCGAACAAAAACAAAACAACATACTAACCACTGTTACCGTTTGCGATCGATTGCCGGTTCGATAAGAGTGATGAAAAACCGACGCGCTGTTGTCATGTGTGTTTTAAATATTTAATTTAATGAAACTTACTTACTGACTACAAATTTTAGCTTAACTTAAAAAATGCCATTTATTTGTTAATTACCCAATTTAAAACCGTTTTAGATTAGATTATAAAAATTAGTAAGATTGCGGTGATTGTGGTCGATATAAAGCACTTAAAATTGTAAACTATAAAGCCATTTAGACAAAAATCTATTTGACATGTTTTTACCCCCCCCCCCATTACCCATTTCAATAATGACTACCATAACGTTTACACCCTGTATATCAAAAAGTCCACTGGTAACAATTATACCGTGGGCTAATCTCTGCGACTTGACAGTAAATCGTAAACGAATAGACTAGTCCATCCAGAGGTTGAACAATGGCAAACCCGGCAACACCGCTTCGAGATCAATTTCTTACACCCCCTGATATAATTAGCAGAAATCTGTCGACGGCGTACGAGAATGAACGGTTCTCGTGACTGGGTGCATCCGGCGATTCATCAGCGATGATCATCAACCGTACAACAAACATTCATTTGTTACTTCGGGGCGGTGTGCGGTCACGAGAATGGTCCATTATTATTAGTCTTTTTTAAATTCTCTTCCCACCCGCTAACAAACAATAAAAAAATATGTTGCGTGTTTGTGAGAATTCAAGGTACATTATCATGAATACGATTCGGGTTATGCTGGTCGTTGGTATTTTTAGATCAATCAGACTTTATCCATTGTTGTGAGTTGTGAAGTGGAGATTCTGAGTAAGGCAACAGCACAACTATGCCGCAAACAATGAATAAGGTCATTAGGGCTATGACTTGACCTTTCGGCAAAGTTCAGGGCCTTGAAAGCCTCAGTATTAAAATATTTGATTTCAGTTCCTACTAATAAAATGAGAAGGTGTGAAAGTTTGTTACTCAATCACGCCAAAATGGCTGAATGGATCTTGATGGTTAAAATCGTACAGATATATGTTATAGTCTGGAATAGCACTTTTTATCTTAGGAAATAACGTTGAAACATCTATTTCACCGGCTACTGCCCAAACGGCTTAAAAGAATCTGACGTGAGGTGACTGGAGCGGAAGCACTTAGTTGCTGGGCTGACCGAAATGACTAAGGGTATATAAACAGGCCGTGGTCGTCTTCATTTAGATTCGTTTAGTGTTTTGTGTTTGATGGCAAATATTTAAGTTTCTAGCGATCTTACTCGTACTCGTTTCAGGATATTCTTCGACTTCGTGCAGCACTGCTTCCTCAATTTCAGGTGTTCTCACACATTAGAGGTCTACCTTCAGATGTTCCTTTTCGGACAGAACCAGTTTCAACAAGACGACGACGAATATTAGAAAAGGTTCGACTATCTGGCAAAGCACGATCGGGATATCTCTGGTGATAAATCCGTCTGGCTTGCTCACTATTACCGTCGGCAAGGCCATATACGTAATGCATTTCCGCCATTTCTGCATTTGAATAATTCACCATTATTAACAAGATTGTAAAAATTAAATAATGAAAAAGATGTCACAGCGAACAGATTTGAATAACTGAGACTTGTCAGATGTCAAAAGCCAGTGACATATTACAGGGCAACTAGATATTTATTGCTAAATTGCATTCTTCAATTATTACATTAATTTTCTCGGAAAATAGAACGGTTTTTATTTTTTTACTCAAAAATGGCGCATCGAAGAAAGACAATTCAAGAGAGACCATTTGTTTTAAATTGAACGGGGAATTAAAAAATAATTTGTATTTGGCAGAAAAGCATTGACGTACCATTTTTTTCTTAAAAAATATCGAAGTCAATACCCGTACGCACACCACTGTTAAAGCTGAAAATTATTTTTGCATTAAAAAATATGCAGCTTTATTGACTTTCACTACGTACTAAATATCAGTGAAATATCTGAAGCGGTTCTGAAAATATTAGTTAATTTCCATTTTCTTCCGAAAACTTCAACTCCCCGAGTTTTTGTAAGGAAACATTTTTGGACCATAGTTTATAAAGCAAACTAACATTAATTTTTCATGTTGGTTCACACCCTTAGATATTCGCATATCATTAAGGAACACCCTGTATATTGTTTCTGTATGTTGCTCAGTAGGATTTGAAATTTTAGGGACAGGTATAATTAAGTCCAGTATCTACTGTTTAAGGGGGTGTGCTTTTTTTATGTGACTGACATGAAAGAAGGTTAAAGGAAGACTTACTTTGATGATAGAATGTCAATTTCCTTAGACATCATTTTGAGGTAATGTTTGAGATTATTGCCAAATTACTTTTTTGTTATCCTAAAACTATTCTTAGCCGATCTTTTTCAAAAAAATAAGTAGTCATGTTTTCGCGATGTTGCAGTAAATTTAGGTAGTTTAACCATGAGTTAGCGGATAAAACCATGCCTATAGTCTTAGTAAGTACACATTTTTACGTATTTCCCTATTGTGGTTTAGACGTGAAGCTTCCCACCACGGATTTACCGAAAACCACTGATCAAAAGAAAAAACGCCGAGACACGTCAAAAGATTCGTCAAGGGGGACCATTTTTTAACCAAAAACTACGTCATCCCTTTTTACCCTCTGCCCCCCAGGGTCATCCCCTTAAAGATTTCAAATGACAAGGGATATCGAGTAATAGCTTGTTTGAAAGGTCTTTATTTTGAAGTTTGATTTCTTTAAATTAGTCGATTCTTTTTGAAGAAAATCTTTATTTATCCTAATTTGTTCAGGTAGAAAACAAAAACATACGAAAATATCACTTTTTATTTCAATAGGTGTTCAAATATGGTGCGTTATTGGCTAAACAATGATATAGGCGATGTTAAAATTTCTAACGGACATTTTCAAAAAGTTGTCCCTCTTGACAAATCTCTTGACGTTTCTCGGCGTTTTTTCTTTTAATCAGTGATTTTTGATAACTCTGTGGTGACAAGTTTCGATGAATGTGTGTACTATACTTGCGTCGCTGTAATGTTGTTGATTCCCTCCACCATCAGAGCTTTTTCCAAGCCCAAAACAAGTGAATTCTCAGTCGTCTCTTACCTGTTGCTTGGTGATGTAGATGGGTTTGTTGAAGATCAGCCACGTAACTGTCTCGTGGCAGGCAGGCATCGTCGTGGAACCATCGTACGTCATGTAGTAGTCAGTGTCAGGTAGAAGACCTCGAACTGAAAGACGTTTTACTTCTACTTCTTCCCCTGAAAGCATTATTACTTGTTAAAATGTTTAAAAAATTAGTCGAACATTCAAACGTTGTTATAATAACATACATTAACATACAGGGTATTCAAAAAGTTTCAGAACATCATCTTAAAAACTACTTGTATGGTTAACAAAACTTGCAGGGTTTTGACAGAACAATCTAATGACGATCTTGATTTTGACTTGAAAATGACCTTCGAGGTGAAGTAAACTTGAAAGTTTTAAATACAACAATATCTTTTTGACTCACCGATGAAAACGGTGAAAATTACTTTGATCATGACTTTCAAGGTCACTTAGATGTCTACCTGAAAATTTGAAATGGAACCGGAAAGGTCAAAAAGATACGGTCCTATACTATCATTCTATTCGAGAAAAATCAAACTTGAGGTCAGTTTCTGAGGAGGTTGATTTAGAACTGAACGCGGCTTCTTAAGGATTAGAATTTCGTCTGTTGAACAATTTCCATATGAAGCTTTCTTAAATAGTGATCGACGTCAGATCGATTTACAATTTCTTCCCTTTCATTCAACAGCCCCGACTTTCTGCTACAAAACGTGTCCTAAGATTTTGTGAGGTTGTTCCCTTCATAGGTCATAAGTTGTTGACATCTCCGAGAATCTGACATTAGGTCTTAGGACTTTAAATGGTCGATGCTGATAAGCGAATAATATTGATGTCCATATAACCAAACATGAGTCTAAACTAACGACAGGATGCCTAAATATTAATTGTTTCATCAAATTGTAATCACATTATCATGTTATGTGTTATAAGAGCCCTTAATATATTAATGGATATAGATCAATTATTATTTAGATATATTGCTGAAACGTCATTTGAATGACCTTCATGACCTGATTGCAAATGGTTAATAAATAATTTTTGATGTTACTATTCATGAGACATGCACCATGCTTAGATATATAGGAGATGTGACATGCTGAATAGTTCTGAGTGTTTGGTACCTAACTGCAATCGACGTGGAAGTATTGTAATTGAAACAATTGTGAGATTTTTTTGATGTTACGTTATAAACACAACAAAAAAAAACCGTCACTCATTTCCACAGGTCCGTCTGCCTTCGATGTGTTCACTTACCCTGGGCCCCCTTTGTAACTTGGAAAGTACCGCTCGGGTTTTGGTTACAGTATGACAAGATCGGATAAACACTTATTAGACATAATATTCCCACACATCGCACATAAATTTGCCATTAAAATGTGATTTTTTTTATTGGGGAGTTACGAAGTCTCCGGTGAAAAACAATAAAAAAAATTAAAACGTGATGTATTTATAATTTTAACTTGAGACACAGAATTGCATTGCTTTATCAATGGCGGATCCAGGGGGTCCAGGACCGGACACTCTTGAAATATCAGAGTTTAAAAGAGTACTCCTCTCGCTCTTCGATTTTAACTCTGTGATACCTCCCCCTCGAGACGGACGTCCTCATGAACATGATTCTTGAGTTCCTCCCCACAGTCCCTTTTTACTAGGAAACTTCTGAAAATATTTTCTAGGTCCCCACTGAGCTTTTGGTTTATCGTAACTTCCTAGACATACCTAGTCGGGTTTAGATTTCATTGCAATCTCTCGAATAGACTTGACCCATTCCTTTTTTGTTATACATGGGCGTAGTTTTCTAATAGGGCGTTTTAGCAGCTATAACTATGCAATCAAAAATAGGTCCCCATAGGTCGACTCTAGATCCTACATGCAATTGATTTGATTGTTTTTCTATTTTAGGCGCTAGGTTTGGAAGTAAACTGAACATACATGTAGTCTAATTAATGACAGAATTGCGTGAGACGTACATAGTGTGCCCACTTGATGCCATTTTTTCATATACATATTTGTTGTATTCAGTTATGAGCTGGAACCTCCATATTATAGATGGAGTTACATAGTATATGCGTATTTTTCTTCAAGACATCAAAAGTATCATAAAAAGTAATTCTGTTTTGTAAACACAAGAAAAGATAATATGGCATATGCATAAAAATATATTGTTAAACTTGTATTTGATTTTTTCCTTTACTAAACGTTAAATGAGATTCGAGAAAGTAACTTACCTCCATATCTTATTTTGTCTAACTGATCTGTTAATATCCTAAGTTCTGCGTTTGACAAGTCTCCTAGCTGAAACAGAAGAGTATCATTTGTTATCGAAAGAATTAAACCAGCAGCATTACTATAGGTATTGTGCTCAGCTGATAATGGAATGTTCAACAAATAAATTACTGAATATATGTTCAATACCTCTGATTTATTTCAGAAGAAGAAGGAGTTTCCTATGACTATTTCTCTCGTCTTAATTTCTACCAATTACAAACGCGCAATTTTAAATTACAAATGGGTTCTAGATAGGAAAATTGTATGACAGCACCTGTCACCAGTTTTTTCGAGTTTACCCGCGGCAAAACTTGACAGCTGTTGTCACCCAAAATTAAAATACCTTTGATAACAAGTATTTATGGTGTCATATTACACCAGAAAACGACACTAAACAATTTTTCCGATGAAATAGTCGAAAAATACCATTCAAGCATTCAATTTATTCTTGTGAAAAAAAATCGAAAAAACACAATGCAAAGTAATATTTTTTAAGCAAAAATCAATTACGCAGGTGCAAAAATCCATGAATTTTTGTTGCCACCAGCACACCAGACTTTCAAAGGACACCACTGAATGTCGATTTTTTAAAATAAGCTTTGAATAGTGTAAAATCAACTTCTCTCAATTACTAAATGAGTCAAAAACATTTAAAAAAGTTTGAGCCTGAAAGACTGGACAAATGTATTTCCTTAAAGCGATCAACTACTTTTCCTGGCCTATCAAGGCTCATCTTAGTAGACATGTTTAAGAGATGCGTATTAAGATAAAGAGGAAAAATCTAAACGTCGACAACGAGATGAAAATAGGTTAACGAGAAAACAGCTCAAGAAATGAGATGAGGGCGATTCCTTGCTCTGATTACAGTTGGTATTATAATGAAATGCAAGATTGCAGTGTCTTCCAGGAATAGCGTCAATGTAAAGTGTAAATAACGGATATGAAATGCAAATACTTTTCTACTCGGTTATATGGTTTGACCTCTGTATAGTACTTTCCTTACTGTTGTTACTTAACGCGGGGTTCGTGAATACATTCAAACTGACATGTCTCTTCTACTATAGTTGTGGTCACCGTCCTTGGCGGGTCAAAGTAAGACGACCAGTATCCCTTTACGTATACTAAGTGACATATAAATCCGAACACAGAGTTTAAATGGTTTTATTTTAATAAAATTTTGTATAAGTACTTAATGAAGCATAATAAGTAAATGATAAAAATTTCAAAATGATTGCACTGCTTTAAAGCCCTTTGACCTTTAATAATGTGTAGATGCACCCTGATGTGCTACGCATTCTCCAACGCGCCTAGGCATGCTTCTGATCAGGTGGTCAATGTCCTCCTGTGGTATCTCATTCCAAGCAACCACCAACTCCTCTCGAAGTGCTTCTAGAGTCTGAGGAGGACGTTGCAAATTGAGCAATCTCCTACCCATCATATCCCACACGTGCTCAATTGGGGATAAGTCGGGAGATCTTGGTGGCCATGGTAACAATGTGACATCATTATGTAGAAAGAAGTCTATTGTGACTCTTGCAACATGTGGTCGGGCATTATCTTGTTGGAAAGTTGGATCTGCCAGGGTGTCAAGATAGGGTTCTAGAACTTCGTAGATATAACGCTGCGCGTTCATGTTACCTCTGATGAAGATTAAAGGTGACCTGGAACCATAAGCTATAGCACCCCAAACCATAACTCCAACAGTGTAATGAACATGTCTTTCAACAAAAAAATGTGGATTCCTCCTTTCACCACGTCGCCTTCTAACCCTGGCACGACCATCGCGCATGCCTAAACAAAATCGAGACTCGTCACTAAAGACAATACTGTTCTATTCCTGATCCCAGAGTGACCGTTGTCTGCACCACTCAAGGCGATTACGTCGGTGTTCTCGAGTTAAAGGGAGGTCCCAGTGTGGGCGGTATGAAAACAAGCCAAAACTTCTCATTCGTCGTAAACACTTCGGATGCCAATAGGTCTTCCGTGTTCTGCAAACCATTCATTTGCAATGGACCTGGTAGTGGAGAAACGGTCCCTTAAGGCCAATAATCTTAGGCGGCGATCTTCACGATCTGTTGTTCTAAGGCGGCGTCCAGTGCCCCTTGCTCTTTGCGTACGGCCTTCTCGAAGCCATGCCTGACAACACCTAACCACAGTGTCTACACTTCTTTGCACTCTAACTGCAATTGCCCGAAAAGAAAGTCCAGCTTCCCGAAGTCACACTATACGGCCCCTATCAAACTCACTAAGTTGACGAAATCGTACAGGTCTCCGTACTCTAGGCATCGTAACCGATCGTAAAGGATGTCAAGAACCAAAATTCGCCAACGTTGATTCTTTACAGCGGCTGAAATATTCATTTTTAGAGCGTTTGTGAATTAAAAAAAGCAGTTTAAAAACCGGAATGTCCAACTGATAAGGCTGAAAATTTGTTCACTTGTTATTTACAGTAAGATAAATACATTCACCAACTTTTATTAAAATAAAACCATTTAAACTGGGTGTTCGGATTTATATATCACTTAGTATATATCTCCATCTCCGTCATACATACACGTGCAACCTACTCATGAGTGTGGACGTTTGTTCGGTCTAGTCTGCGCAGTGGTCCGCCCAAGGTACGCAGACTCGATCTGTTTACTTATTTCATATGGCGTTGATGACGTAACCGCCAAGAATGGTGACTAAAACTATATTGAACTGAATCCTGTCATCTCCCGCGTAAAACCGTGAAAGCTAATAAGCTAGGTGTCAACCTACGAATAACTTCTGTTTTCGTGGAGTTGCAAATCGCATTTTTCGCAGTGATTTATTCAACTTTACGAAAACTGGAGTTATTCGTAAAACTTGCAAGTTGGCATCTACCTAATTAGCTTTTTGCATGATTTTACTTGATTACTTGATATAGCTTAGTATCAAAAGAAAATTGCCAGTTTGATATTTTCTAACCTCAATAATTTGCCTTAACAACCAAGTCATTCTTTGGCCAAGTGTTTCCAAAGTTACTGTAATTTACCCATCTACTCGCAATGTAATAAAATAAGTATAGCAGTGCAGGGTAAGCTTATGTTATGTTTTTGTAGTATATTCAATATTTTTCAAATTTTGGCGAATGCGCATACCTACCAGTACAGATCACATTCACCAATTTTATCGAATTCAACCACACGGATCACCATCATTTTTTAAAAAAATTAATAAGAGGAAAATGTGTACCACACTATACGGATGGTAATTGTCGTATTTGCATTCAACGCCCCAGCAAAAATGGAAATTCTGCCCTCCAAATTCCTATATTTTTATTAGGTGGTCATTCTGTCGTTATCTGTAAAGGCTAACCGCAAGGGTTTTGCCTTTGTATCAAAGTATGTCGGTCAGTTAGTTATTCTGTCTGCCTGGCTGCCTCGCAGTGCACTGACTCACGCAATAAAAGGTTACAATGCGTTTTCTCTTGTTCATTATGTCGCTGTTCAATGTTAATTTCTATGAGGAAATTTTCAAAAACGCCTTCACAGATCACTGGTACTTTAGTCATATCCTAGGTGAGCAGGCTAATGTCATTTTGACAGTAGCGCCCACGAAGTATGTCAAGAGACTAATTTCCCAAACGAAATTCGACTCCACGATTTTTTCAAAGGCATATTCGCACACAACTTGAAACGAAAATGGAAGTATCTTTAAATTTTTTGGACTAAGTGACTATACTTGATTGTCTAACAATATACGGTGCCAAAGTAAGACGTGAGTTAGTAGTGGTCTTCATTAAAATTTAGACTTTGAAATAATTTTTGTGCAGTGTACTCGCCATCATACAAAAGAAAAAAAGAATGCTGACATGAAACTCTTTACTGTATGCTTTAAAAAAAACAAAACATTTAACATGCGTAGAAATGACAGACACGAAGCGAGTGCCAGTTTTTCTTCAAACAGATTAAATGACGAAAATCTCGAAAACATTGAGATTTTAACTATAACAAAATTTTGCCATGACGTTACCTATTTGTTGTTTTATTATATAAAGATTTGGAGTAGGAAGTATTGCCATCATGAGCAAGTACAAAAAAAATGACAGAAATGCCAAAACCACGAACTTGAGGCTTTAACGCGGACGCAACCAAGTAGTTAAGTAAAAAAAAACGTTGATGGAAGTTTGAAATACATGAATCTTAATGTCTCTCAACCCTTGATATAGAATAGTGGTTTAATAATATTTCGGCCATCTCGGTGTCGTTTTCCAAAATACATAAAAAATGATGAGTACATCTAACGACAGTTAAAGCTGTTGGAAGATTTGTGACATTAAGCCTTTAAAGATGTCTTTATGGTGGGATATCTCAGCTATTTTGCGAAATCTTAATCACTTTCTATTTATCTTTCGACCTAAAGGTATGCTCAAAATTACAGCACCTCTAGTCGGTGTTGCATTTTCTATGTCATTCAGTATATATTAAACATGGCTGTGCGGTGTCTTGGTATGGATAATGTGTTCCTTGAACTTGAATGCTTATTTTAAATGTTATCTTGTTCCATAATGATGAATCAGTAGTTAAAATAATTTTTGAAAATAACAAAAATGAATATTGAACTGGTTATTAATCTTGAGACATCCTACCTCTTTGATTGATGATATTTCCTAAGATTATTTGTTAACCGGCAATAAGAATTTTGAATTTCCTGTTGTGTGTAGCCGAACATTTAATTTAAACAAGAATAATATGCTGTTTCCATATAAAATTTTGGAAATAATTAATGATTCACATAATCGCTTTTTTGTTTTAAAACTGAGGAAGTATCTGTTGGTATATATGGTAGTTTCAGCCTAAAATAGCATGTTTTGATGATGCTGTTTTTGCCTAAAGCATTGAATTTTGAATCCATGCTGCCTATTTTCAGGTCCAGGCTTGCTTTTAGATGGCTCCGCTTTTCTTTATTGCAACAAAGTACAACAATGCCGAAGATTGAGTTTGATGCTATTAACAGTAAAATAGTTAGTACATAGTACTTTCGAGAGCGACATTAACTTCAGCCTCAGCCATTTTAAAATCATCCGGGGAAGGCTTAACAATAATTGAATTTCATCGGCATAACAAGTTACACTAGAGTTTATAGTATTGTCGACCAAATCAAATGTATATATCAAGAGTAAGAGGGGCCCTAGAACCGAACCTTGTGGTACCCCTAAAGAAACATTCTGTAAATTTGAAATAGTAGTGCCCAGAGCAACCTGTTGCTGACTGTCTTTAAGATACGAGTGACATATTATATAAGCTATAGTCCAGTAGAAATGGTTATACATTTGTCATAAATTAGTTGCAAGTGTTGTGATGAATTAGTGTAAGACTAATAAGTCAAAATGGTGCTTTCGTTACAATATTAAATGCAAAAATTTCATAGATGAGATCAACCTCAATTCCATTCCAAGAGCTCGAAAAACTCCCTTATGGACCCCGATCCTTCATTTTTACGGTAGGAAACAAATCAGCAAAATTTTAGTTTCGATGGAGTGCGGCCCGTTCGTTAGGCAGCCAGTAAAAAAATATTTTTCCGCTATGGGCCTTGGTCGGCCAGTTGGCGGGAGTGAATTTAATTAATTAAATTGTAAACATGTTTTTCATAGTCGATACACAACGATGATGAAAGGGAGTGGTCGGAATTTTATATCTACATCAAACGACGCACTGGCTGTAATGTAAACAGCTGTTTCCCGTTACATGCACTGCATTTTATTCGATTTGCAACACGAACTGATGTTATTGACATATTTTGTGCGCCATGGAGCATCATTATTTTTTAAGAGAAGAAGAGGCTTTTTGCGCCTTGATAATGATTGACTACTGTCTTTCAATTCATGACAAAACTTTATTTTTGTTAATTCTTCATGTCATCTAGCTGTTGAACGAACGCACATATAGTCAACGCCAAACAAAGTGGCGTGCACGTCATCACGATAAAAATTCCCCGACCTAATGCCTAGGTTTCTATCACAAACAATTGCTCTATTGCAGTTTCATATTAATGTGATATATAAATTGTAAAATGGTCATTACTCTCTTATTATGGTTAATAGTCATATAAACATTGTTATTAAAATATCACATAAGTTGCTTTCTGATAAATTTAGACGCATTATGCGAAATAAAATGTTTTGCAAACGCTCCAATCACTTATCGACATGTAAACGCACTAAACCGATTTCGCAGCGTTGACACATTGTCACCTTGAAACTTATTTAAACTGGGAACTGACATTTGTATTAATTTTGACACTGAATCAATTTGTGGCATTTCAAATCTTTATAAATCCTTTGGCCCCGCATACTGTAAATCAACAACTGTTTGTTTCAAAACAAAATTATTCATTTTACGAGTAGATAAAGGCAATTTTGGTATATAAAGATGCCCAAACAGTTAAATAGTCGGTGTAAGGAACTCGTGGCCTCGTTAATGCACTACTTTGAGCAAGAAAGGGACAACAACGGGCCTTTGTTGCCTTTAAATGCTGTTCAAGAGGTAGGTTACTAATAATTATATGTAATGTATATTAATAATAGTGAAATTTTATTTCATTTTTTGTAGCGTGTTGCTGCTGCTTTAAAAATTAGTTTAAGGACAGTTAGTCGTATTTCCGAGGGTGTGAAAAGTGATGCAAATTTAGAATCGCCCAAGAAAAAGCGGAGTTATATTAAACGTGTAACCAACACAGCGACATTGGATACAAGTGCCATTCGAGAAGTGATCTATAATATGTATCACAAAAGTAAGATTTTATTATAATAACTTATCAGAAATTTGCATTAATTCGTTAACTAAATTATAATATCATATTACACATGGTTTCAGAAGAACAAGTTACGATACAAACTTTATGGTCTCGATTAAGAGATAGGGCATTATTTGATGGTAGTGCCACGTCTTTAAGGCGGTTGCTTAGAGATCTTGGATTTAAGTGGCTTAAGGACAATCCGCGACGAGGGCTCATGGAACTACCAAGTATAGCTTTGAAAAGGGTGGAATTTCTAAGGCAATACAATCAAGCCAAGGTTGAGGCCTTATACCAGTTTGTCTTCCTCGATGAAACTTGGATATTTCAAAATGGGACCATAGGTCGCTCTTGGCAAAATGGAAACCAAAAAAGCGTGAAAGCTATTAAAACAGATGGTAAAAGGTATGTACTTTTACACAATTTGCACTATAAAATTTAAAACTAATATATTTTAGATACATTATATAACATGCTGGAAATGAAAATGGGTTTATTGAGGGTAGTGAAGCGATATTTTCTTCGAAAACAAAATTGAGCGATTACCATGGAGAGATGAACCAGGACAATTTTTTGAAATGGTTTCAACATCAGTTATTAGAAAAATTGGAGAGTCCATCTATGATTATACTGGATAACGCCCCTTATCACAGCATGATATTGAACAAAGTGCCCAACAATGCATGGACAAAAAAAAATATCCAAGACTGGTTGACAAATCAAAACATACCATTTTTAAACACAATGTTTAAAACAGAGCTATTGAGTATTGTTGCTCGGTACATAATGCTTCTTAATTATATATATTTTGGTCGACAGTTTATATTTCTTTTGTTTATTCCTATTCTTAAAATAACTGCTTTTTTAGAAACAAACCACCTAAAATATACGTGATTGATGAATTGGCGGAACAACATGGGCACAAAGTTCTTCGTCTGCCTCCTTACCATTGTATATTTAACCCTATTGAGTTAATTTGGGGCATAGCAAAAGGTTACTATAACAGACATATTGGTAGAGATGGTAACAGTGAAAAAGACTGTTTGGATATGTGGAACGAGGCTCTACAAACGGTTACCCCAGACATGTGGAAAAATAGTGTTCGACATACTGAGCAAGAAATTTTTAAATGGTATGAAAGAGAACGAATTTTTGATCGACCAGACATCGAACCTTTAATAATCAACTAGCTTACCTAATTTTAGAATGCATTTTTCTGTATGAATTCTGTAAAATAAGTACCATGCATAAAATTTGGAGGACCCCATTTGGATTTTTATTCAGTACCTTTAAGCTATCAATTAAATATGGTAGTTTCATAGTGTCATCTGATCAATAATTGTCATACTTAATGATTATGCAAGTACAGATCTATAATTTTATTATACTATTATTTTTGTTCTCATTTGAGGTTAATATTGCTTATCAACTTAGATATGTAAATAATAAATTTTATTATGTTACAAAAAGTTTGGCAACAATGTAAATTTTTCAACACACCCACCTTGATGACGTGCACGCCACTTTGTTTGGCGTTGACTATACGCTTGAGTTTTCCCTAACGTTTCGACCATCTTGGTGGACTTTTCCAAAGTACAGATCAAAAAAGTGACAGCGTCTTGATTCTTCATACCATTGTCGCAACAGACCTGTTACTGATATTCTTTTAACAACCTACATGAACTGCACAAACTCAAAAAATGCTGGTTGCGCACAATTAGGTAGAAATATCAAACAGCAAAAATGGAAATCCATCACAGAACATCTACAGGCGTTCTAAATATCCTAAATTTTATCGATATAGCACCTTTGTGAATTATTTA